TATATATATATATATATATATATATATATAAACAGTTATTAAGAAGAACCAGATTCACTGTGAGGGCACGAAGACAGAATGCATAAACAATCACTGAAACTTTACATTTTACTTTCAATAGGAACAATAATGTCAGAGACATCATAAACATTGTAAAACACAATATCCTACAAAGCATTTTTGTGTAGTTTCTAGTGTAAATATCTTAGTTCACTTGAAATGAGAGAAAACTAATTTATAAATAGCTTTTCAGCAAGATGTTTTAAGTTAAAAAATTTTGAATATTGATAAAAAGTACTACTTCCATTGGCAGATTAGATCAAAAAGCAAGATATTCTTCCAATGTTATAAGTAAAAGAAAAATCTGGCATTGGAACTAGAACCTTTTTGTATAAATTAAGAAGTTATTGACTTAATATGAGCTTCTGCATGTTTCTGAAAGTTACTTATAAGTAGGGATGGACATTTATTGTATCCATCATTTATTCTGATAAATTTCTTATCAGAATAAGAATTTCAATTTATCGTCGGCATGATAAATTCCAATTAATGATGTTTAAAAACCTCCAAAACTTACCTTACTGTCAGTTTTGGGGTTGGTACCAATCGCTCTTCTTTATGTGACTGGTGTCTTAAAGAAGTGTATTAAATGGTATATTTTTCAAGAACATTATTTGTGTTTGTATGGATTTTATTGCTATGACACACGTAGTCATACAGTTACCCAAAAAAGATGCAATAATAGTGATTATAGTCACTTATTGTTGCCATGATGGTACTGCAAAATATTATTATAAAACTTTAACACCCATGCAGCAGAAACTGCTGATAATACAATAAGGGAGAGTAGTAGGAGAAAAAAAAGTTCCAAAAGTCAGCAGCAAAACTTCAGTGATGAGAGTTTGTGAACTTTATCATAACTGAAAGTTTTAAGCAAACGAGACAGAACAGTATTGTTATTCCATCATCAGGAGGAGGAGTGACATCACTTCCTGTGTGTTTCAGAGCGTACTGGCTTCACGGTGCGACCTGTGGCCGGTTACCTTTCCCCCAGAGACTTCCTGGCTGGTTTGGCCTACAGAGTGTTTAACTGCACTCAATACATTCGCCACAGCACCGACCCCCTCTACACACCAGAACCGTGAGTCCAAACCTGTAATCTGCTGCGCTGTAATCTCATCCAGCTCACAGTCACATCATTTCCCTGATTTTTCATTAATCCATTTCTTCCATAGATTTAACATACCTCCTTTCTTGTTGTGGTTTTTCTTACCAAGCAGTTTCTAGTTGTTTCTGTAAGACTGGTTCAATCTCAGGATCAAGTCTTTGCAGGCCCAGAGAGAAGAAGCAACACTTATGTCTGCCACAGTAATCAATAAATCTCATTACAAATTAAAATGAGCTCAATAATTTCCATTTGCTTGATTTCTCATTCTTTCTACCAAAAACTGGATGACAAAAGTCTTCAGTTTGGTTCTTTGGTATCAACTAGCCCTTCTTATAAAGGACAATATTGCTCATAGAGACTTTATAATTCATTTTATTTGTTGTTTCTGTTGTTTTGTTTATTTATTTTGGATATTTAAAATGTCTTCCAGTTCCAGTGATAAAAATGTTCATTTAAATTTAAATATTACTGATCTTTAAGAGCGTGTTCTTGCATTATTATTATGTCTTTACAATTATATCACTTCAAAATGATCTCAAGCCAACATTATTGTGTATTACAATAATTTATTGTCTGACCGGCGTAGCAACACTTAAACCCCTGAACTGGTTTCACTTTAATCAATCTAATTTCAAACCAAACCAATGAGTTTCAACGGGAATAAAAAGTCAGATATTTAATTTTAAATAATCATAATTATATTTAGCCTAGATCACCAACCTCCTCCAGAACATCTGGTCTGCTGGTCCAAACAGCGTCTGTTTGTTCTCAGAGATACATGTCATGAGCTGCTGGGTCACGTTCCCCTGCTGGCTGACCCAAAGTTCGCCCAGTTCTCCCAGGAGATCGGCCTGGCCTCACTGGGAGCGACGGATGAGGATGTGCAGAAACTGGCCACGGTGAGTGGGGACCAGTGGGCTGGTAGACCCACCCATCCCATCCCATTAAGACTATTTAACGTAAATTATCCAAAGCCGCAGGATTACTTTAGGTAAAGTCCTGCGGACGTTTGGGCAACTTAACTCAGGCAGAAAATTTCTATAAAGTTTCTGTATTTGTTCACACAGTTAATTTCTGATTAACTGTTTGATGATGAGAATGGATCAGCTTCAGTTTATTTATTTAGTTCTGACTCTTCATATAAATCCAGTTTATATAAATCCAGTCAAAAATATCTGGGTGAAGAACTTCAGATCTTACCGGTGCACTTTGCTCTGTTTGGCTGTGTGCTGTCATGTGACTCAGTGGTTCAGCATAGGTCATCACTGACTAACTGCAGTTACACTGAATGACCCGAGGGTGGCGCTGCTCTCCAAAAACACTGACTGACAGCTGGTGTTTCTGTTTCAGTGTTATTTCTTCACCATCGAGTTTGGACTCTGCAAACAGGA